GCTACCTCCTCGCTGCTCGCGTGTCGGCCGCAGCCCGCGGCGCGCCGTTCACGGTCGGGCCGTTGCGGTGTACCGTCCACTGGCCGCGCAAGTAGACGGCCTCGGCGTCGCCGAACGAGTACGAGAAGAGGTCGAAGTCCGTCAGCTCGGAGCGCTGCACGAAGCGCGGCAGCGCGCCGTAGATGACGTCGAGGTCGGTGTAGCCCCAGTGGGTGTAGTTTTGGAGCCAGGCCGAGAAGACCTCGCCAAAGGTGGGCTTGTACTCCGCCACCTGCGGGCGGCACCACCGCCTCAGCGACTCTGCTCACGCCCCGACGCGGCACACCCTCGCGGCAAGGACTGCCAGCCGCGGCCACGCCTCGAACAGCGCCCGCAGCCGCTTCTCGAGCGTCCTCGCCTCGCCTCCTCCCAGCCCGAGCGCGCCGCCCAGCCGCGCGGCGAAGAGGCGCGCCAAGCCGCCGCGCCGCAGCTCGACCAGCTTGACGTTCGGCGCACGCACGCCACGCGGCAGCGAGAGCGACCCCTCGTGCGGCACGTACCAGTCGACCTGCTCGAGACCAGCCACCCGCTCAAGAGACGCCGTTCACGGCTCGCGCCCCCTGCAGCACGGACGGGGGGCGACCAGCGAAGCGGAGGCGGAGGCGGAGGCGACGAGGTGGGAGAACCACGCCGGCGCCTTTGCGCCGTCGCGGTCCATCCACGGCAGCACCATCGCGATCCGAAACTCGCGGTGCCGCACGCCGCCGCACGGCTCGGCCGCGGCGGAAGAGGCGGAGGCGGCCGCGTCGTCTGCGGCGGCAGAGTTAGCGGCGCCGCCGCCGCCGCCGCCTCCGCCTGCCTGGCGGCGGCTGTTGGGCCCCAGGACCTGCGCCCGCTCCTTGAGCGCCTCGAGCTGCGTGTTTAGCGTCGCCGCCGCCTGCTGAAGCCGCTCCCGCTTGGAGCCGCGCGCCTGCCGCGAGAGTTCGAGGTTGCGCTCCGCCGTGCGGCGGCGGAGCCGGTCGACGTCCGTCTCGTTGAGGAGGGAGCCGGCGGCGCGGCCGACGGCGCGCGGCACGAGCGGGTCGCGCCCCGTGTTTACTTCGGGAAGGCGCGAGAAGGCGCTCGCCATCGCAAGCAGCAGCGCCGCCGAGCACACCGCGAGCACCGCCCTGCGGCGCGCCGCAGGAGACGTGCGCAGCGCGCGCAGCGCCATGCGAGCACGCATGGCCACGAGCTTGCGCACAAGCTCGTGCAACGGCGCGTCGGGTGCCGGAAGCTGGCCGGCGGCGTAGCGGCGAGGAGGAGAGCCGTTGTACGAGGGCTTGCGGCCGCGCTCCATGGCGGCCTCCAGCTGGCTCGAAGAAGAATTTTACAAGAACTCCCTCGCACAACACTGGACAGGAACGCGCTCTCCGCGCGCGGCGACGGTGTGCCGCCGCGGCGTTCGCGCTCCTCATCGCCTGACGCGCCGCCTGCGAAGCGGGCCTCTTCTGCCGGCTCCTCCGTTTGCGGCTACGACTCCGAGGCGCCGGAGGAGATCCAGAACGAGGCGCTCTACCGGGCCTGCCGCGCGTACGGCTTAGGTGAGCAATTCCTCGCTGCGGCGCAGGACGAGGGCACATTCGGCGAGTGGCTCGACGAGCTACCCTTCGAGGTGGCTGCGGCGACCGCCCGGCTGCTCAAGCACCACGCGCGCTCCGGCGCGTGGGTCGAGCTCTCGCCCGGCAACCCTAGCCAGGCCTCACGCGCTGGCCGCGACCGCGACCGCTCGAGCCCGAACTGCCCGTCAGATATGTCGGAATTGTCGGAGAATAGCGACTAGCACACCTCTGAGTCCCAGAAACCCGAGGAGTCACACAGTCCACCTGTGTGATGCACGCCCTGCGAGCAGGGCGGGGTGCGCACTGTCCCTCTGTGTTCGTGTGCGTCGCCCATCTCTCCCTGGAGATGACTGCTCTATTTATTTACTGGGCACGGCGTTCTCCCATCCCTCCCTTGGGTTGTGTGTTTTCTTTCTTTCTTTCTTTTACTGGGCACGGCGTCACCCCTCTCCTTAAAATCCCTGTGTGGTGGCGGCGTGCCGTCCTCCCATCCCTCCCTTGGGGTGTCCGTTTTCTTTCTTTCTTTTTTACACTGGGCACGGGACTGGCGCGCACTGGCACTAACACGAAGAAGAATTTAAACAAAGAATTTTGGCAGAAACTCGCACGACACTGGGCACGACCGAGTCTGATTTCGCCTCGCCGCCTTATTGCCCCCGGTGGTGTATCTCTTGGACTTGAACAAAAGAAACAAACAAATAAGTCAATATAAAAGACCAGAGGAGGACGGCACACGTCGCCACCAGGAAGGCGCGCTGGTTGTTTCTTCTCCAGGGGTCGCTTAGTTAGGCGGCGGCTCCCGTTGGTGCTGATAGGTAAGTGCCATTGATTGATTTTATAGGAAGGCGAAGAACGTTCGCGGACTGGCACCAACGCGGAGAAGAGACATCTCTCTCTCTCCAACGCGGTACGAGACTACGAGTATGGTGCCAGTGCGCGCCGTTCCCCTGTGCTAAAATTCTTTCCAGCAGCTTGCCCCTCTCTCAAAAAGCACACGGGCACGACGAGCGCGTGGACTGGGCACGCAGAAGAGGATGCGTAATCATTACAAGAAACAGGCCCCCGTGATTCCCTCCATTGGCCAAGCTTTACTCTCGAGGTCCGACAGTAACTATCTCGTCCTCCTTCACAGCGCGCAGGTGCGCGTTGATCATGGCCGCGAACTGCTTGTACACGTTGTCGCAGGCGAGGATGAGGTTGTCGTTCGCGACCACCCGTTTGAGGTAGGCGCAGAGGTAGCGCGCCGGCTGTGGGTCGGCGAGCCTCCCGGATGGCGCTCTAAGTGCTGCTTGTAGACCTTCCTCTCCGCGTCGAGCGCCTTGGCAACCGCGTTTTGAGGAGGAAGGCCGTGAGGAGCAGCGTGTCCGCCATGATCATCATCCGCAGCGCAGCACACTTGGCCGGCGGGAAGTCGGCCATGGGCTGCATGTGCGGGTAGATGTCACGTTGGACGTAGTTGCTGGCGTCCGGGGCGAG